GAGTGGGTGAGAAGGTGGGCCTGTTTGTTCAGAATCTCTTCGCCTTCGTCGATGGCGCAGTAATTAGCTCATTCAATAATTAAGAACAAGCACTTGTATCAGCAGCCTTCTTTCCCCCTTGTTGGTACTTCCTCTGCTGCTGTCAGTTTTGGCTTGAGAGTTGAGTACGAAAGAACACGCCGCCTACTCGGGAGCCAGTGAGACTGTGTAAGGGGTGCTAGGAGTGGTGAAGACTATCCTTGCTTTCAAAGGACAGGAGAGGGATACCAAATGATATGTGGAGGAGCTCTTGGAGGCAGAAATGGTTGGTCTGAAGCAGTCCGCCATCTTTAGTTAAGGTAAGAGAGGCAATAAAGCCTTGAGTGACCCACCGTATTGCACTCTACTTTGACAGGAAGGGCAGTTTTCTGGCACCTTGAGCAGATGCAGGTGCACAATCGATTCTAGTTTGTACCAAAACAATCCTGTTGCAGTCGGGAATTTAGTAAATACCCATTGTGGATTTTCATGGTCTGTGAAATCAAATAAGTCAGTCTTCTGAGTGAAAATAGAGGTTTGGAGTAAGTTCTGGCTGTATGTGGAGAACACATTGCTTAGGTTAATTTTGAGGTTAGAGTGTAGGTTTAGCTAGGTCTGATTCTCCTAGAGATTCTCTTGTGGCATTCGTTCACGGTTAAAATTTGATGCAGAATGGTTTTACATTCTTAGTTCTGGAAACGATGGATGCGTCTATCTACGTGTTGATAGCGGTGACCTTCTACTATGGAATCATCATGCTTGGACGTACCACCCCAGATCCGAGCAAAATCATTCTGGTAGTGTTGGGAATGCTCTTTGCTGGAGTCACAGTGCGGCGAGCCTTTCAACAGTTCAACTACTTCAACTTTGCCGTTACCACTGCCGGCGAGATTTTCTCCATCATCGATCGAGTGAATGCGATAAGAACTAGTCATTCATCTACTCAATTCACTCTACCTCTTTTCTTATTCATCTGCTTGATCAATCATTCATTCGTTCCTCTTACCATCGATACTCACTCCTTAATCTACATCTGTTCAGCGTATCCATTCGTCCATGTAAACTGTTATTCCTCTCAACTAATCATTATTCCACTTATACATTCATTCACTTGTTTATTCATGCAATTCCTTGTCGATTCCGTACCCTTCCATTCATTCAAGGAGTCTTTCTGTTCTGTGTTATTTTTCCTGTGCGTATTCCACCCATATATCTGCCTATTTGCTTTTCCAAGCCTTCATTCAATTTAACTTCCTCTCTAGAACTACGGAATGTAATTGCCCTGAGACTAAGTAGGTTATACACATCCTTTATTGTTTTAAACTCAGCCTATTTACTTGCAACACGATGTTCTTTAGTGACCATCGATAGGATGTATAACGACGAAAAGTTCCGTCTGTCGCCTCTCCACTGCGACATCGTCTTCGAGGACGTGTCCTTCCTCTATCTTACCCGTCTTGACGTCCTTCTCCTTGTTCACTGCTCGTAAAACCTCCGACCCAGCCAAAACTTACCCATCGCATGTGTCAGTGGTTCAGGTAAAAGCGCACTCGTTCAACACCTAACGTCTCTACTATCCCGACTCTGGTCGCATCACAATTGACGGTGTGATCTTGACCTCGCTTGCTGGTGATCCTGCCTCGGAGTGGTCTTACAGGAGTCCACTCTCTTCGCGGGCTCACTGAGGGAGAACATCTATCTGGGGAGGCCCAATGCCATTTCGGGGGAGATGGAAGCGGCTGCCAGACTGGCACACGCTCAGGACTTTATCTCAAACCTCCCCAAGGCTTACAATATCGCATTTGTAGTACAGGATGGCGGAAGTGGCATGTTAGGAGGTTAGAAACGGCGGATCACTACTGAAAGAGCTCCTGTTAAAGACCCAACTCTACTGTTATTGGACGAGGCAACCTCGGCGTTGGATACGAGGTTGGAGAAGGCGGTACAAGTAGCATTAGGTGACGCAAAGAAGGGTAAGACTAAGGTGACGGTGGCACATAGACTGTCGACGGTGAGAGACGCTAATGTGATTTTGGTGATGGAGAGAGAACGCGTGGTGGAAGAGGGCAGTCATGAGGAGCTGACGGCGCGGGGTGGTGTCTATGCCAATCTGGCGATGCGTGGAGTATGCATGACATCTGGATTTGATGTCGATGCATGCTCAAAACAAGCCCATGATGTAGAAAATCAAATAATTTTGATCTGACACCCTAATACTACGTTTTGCAAGAACTAGAAATGAGAAGTTTATTTATTTCCTCTCCTTTAGCTTAAAAAAGGGAGGTAAATCGGATGATGACAACAGCGATTTAGGTGACGATGCTAGTGTTGGAAACATCATCAGAGCTACTCAGCAGGTCATTTTTCTTAAAAGTTGATTTACTTATTGTATTTGATAGTTTCGTTATCGATCTCACCTTCTAAACTACTGCACAATTTCTCATCATTTTAACTAATTGGGCGCCACCAAATTTTTACTGGATTGCAAGTGATATCAAGCGGATCAGACTTATACGTTAGAGGGGGATGTTTCGAGATTACTGGTGGATATCATGAGAGCCCTTTCGAGTATGGGACTTCAAGCTACTTGATGAGAGAATCGAGTGCACTGATTTGTTACTCATTCAGATCAGAATTGGTCAAATTAATTCGTCTTTTGGTGTTCTTTTAGCTGACATAAATCCAATTAACGAAATGCAGGTAATGATTTGCTGGGTCGATCACTAGGTCCATAGAAGCATAGAAGGTCAGACAGATTATCGCCTTCTTCCCATTTTAGGATCAAGAAAAGGTGATCTCAAGAAGGTGAGTCTTTGTTTGAGGAACCTTTATTTGTCTTTGATCAGTTTCGGCAAAATTTCCCTTTACTTCCCAAATTTCCTCCCTTTAGCTCGATGAAGATGGCAATTTTAAAGC